GTTCACATTAGGGTCGCCCATCCCTTCCAGGATGGCGACGAACGTCTCTTATGCAGCACGATCAGCGCCCCAGCGCCATCGTGTCTGGCTCACGTTAGGGTCGCCCATCCCTTTCAGGATGGCGACGAACGTCTTATGCAGTGCGATCGGCCCCTTAGCGCCATCGTACCTGGCTTCACGGTTCGGCTCGCCCATTCCCTCCAGGATGGCGACGACCGTCTTGTGCAGCACGATCGGCTTCTCAGCGCCATCGTGTCTCTTTCACGTTAGGGTCGCCCATCCCTTCCAGGATGGCGACGAACGTCTCTTATGCAGCACGATCAGCGCCCCAGCGCCATCGTGTCTGGCTCACGATAGGGTCGCCCATCCCTTTCAGGATGGCGACGAACGTCTCTTATGCAGCACGATCAGCGCCCCAGCGCCATCGTGTCTGGCTCACGATAGGGTCTCGCATCCCTTTCAGGATGGCGACGAACGTCTCTTATGCAGCACGATCAGCGCCCCAGCGCCATCGTGTCTGGCTCACGTTAGGGTCGCCCATCCCTTCTAGGATGGCGACGAACGTCTCTTATGCAGCACGATCAGCGCCCCAGCGCCATCGTGTCTGGCTCACGTTAGGGTCGCCCATCCCTTTCAGGATGGCGATGAACGTCTTTATGCAGCACGATCAGCGCCCCAACGCCATCGTGTCTGGCTCACGTTAGGGTCGCCCATCCCTCTCAGGATGGCGGCGAACGTCTCTTATGCAGCACGATCAGCGCCCCAGCGCCATCGTGTCTGGTTCACATTAGGGTCGCCCATCCCTTCCAGGATGGCGACGAACGTCTCTTATGCAGCACGATCAGCGCCCCAGCGCCATCGTGTCTGGCTCACGTTAGGGTCGCCCATCCCTTTCAGGATGGCGACGAACGTCTCTTATGCAGCACGTCTGCCCCTCGGCGCTGACATGCCCGGTTTATCGATGAGAGCCACCGCTTTCTATCACATCTCACATTCCTTCTCTCATACATTGCACTCATACATTACATGCATTCATGCATTCATGCATCATACCTCATACATTCATACATACACACGTGCATCATGTTTTGACAGTACCGCGACGTCGGTTTGTAAATGCATGGACCTCTAAGCTTCTCCGATTGGAAAGCTCGAGTCAGGGTCCTCTACTCTCGCCTGATGCATTCAGGGGGAGCGTGCCCGTGGAGGAGCACCTTTCGCCCAACCCCGTCGGGAAGGGGGGGTGCCTCACCGGCAGATTACGTTCAGGAGTGCAAACAATCACTCATATATTATGATTATGTGAAGACACAGTTTCCAGCAAGACAGAGGAAGAGCGCAGGCAGAGTATATTTTCTCGAGCAGATTCGCGAGCTCACTACTCAAGAAACTGGGGGACTTGTGTTGGGATATATTATCCCGGCCTATTACTGTTCAGGAGCCCAAGACTTTACGTAGTACGGAGCCCAATCAGTAAGGCCCATTTTAGCCTATCAGGCCTGTTTCGGCCTTTGGGCCCATTTTGGCCCATTCGGCCCGTTAGGGTGGAGAGCCCCCTTTCCCCCTATTCCCTATAAATAGGAGGTTTCCCTCCATGTAAAAGGATCTCTTTCCTTCTTCCCCAACTCATTTACTTTCTCTATAATAGCTTGCAAGACTCCATTAATGGGAGCTCAAATTGTACTATGTAATGGTGAGGAGAGTCCTAATGAGAACGAGAGGGCTTGGATATTAGCCTAAAAAATCCCGTGGTTTTCTCCCTTTCGGGTTTCCACGTAAAAACTGAGTTGTTCATACACATTTATACATATATTTACTATATCGTGTTGGATTAAACTCAACACACACTTAGGGGAGAAGAGAATCCAATATAGTATACTCCGTACTATGAATAGACACACCTAATGGAGAAGAGAATCCAATATGCTATGAATAGACAAATCAAATAGAGAATAGACACACCTAATGGAGAAGAGAATCCAATATGCTATGAATAGACAAATCAAATAGAGAATATAATCAATGGGCTATGAATAAATACACCAAGTGGAGAAGATTATCCAATGCTCAAATGGAATACGTTTAATGAGAATGCTAAAAAAATATTCACACGTGATTTAATTGAATGTTTAGACGACGAACTGATAATAATTAAATTTTACTTGAATCCATTTATTTTTTATTAATCGAAAAAAGTAAAGAAAAAAGTACAACAACATCCAAGCCTTAGTTTAAAAAGAATTTGGGGTCGACTTACATGAATCGATCCATGATATCAGTGTTAAAAAGAGAAGAAAGATAAGGGAAAAAAGATAAAATGGATAAGATAAAGATAAATACTACCTCCGTCCCAGGGAGAAGTTCCTAATTTCCTTTTTGGCAGTCCCAACAAGAAGTTCCCATTTCCCTAAATGGAAAGTTATTCTACATCAAAACAGTGCCAAACAGTGCAAAACAGTGTCGAAACAGTGCCAAACAGTGTCGAAACAGTGCCAAACAGTAAAATTTACCCCCCAGTAACTTTATTTCCTTAATATGTGTGAAAGTCAACCCGGGAACTTCTCCCTGGGACGGAGGGAGTATAAGATAACAATAACATAAAAATATAAAAAAGATAAATGATAAAAAATAAAAGAGCATAAAAAAGATAGAACATAAAAATAACTTAAGAACATAAAAAGACAATGAAGATAAACGATAAAAGAAAACGTGAAAAGAATGATAGAAAAGATATCACTCGTCCACACGAATGTGCGCCCTCCACTTTGCTCTCTCCATAGCCATACTCTCATTCAACCCAAGAAGATGCATATATATCAGTTCAGATTCTTCTAATCCAAGTCTGTTGGGATCTTCCTCTCCCTCTCTTCCCTGCCTCTTCTTCCCACCTCTCAAATCGTCTAACAGGTGCATCACTCGGTGATAGCTTCCTGGTTGTACCGAACTGTTAGAGAGAAGGAAGACCTAAAATATATAGAGAGAACGAACTTGCAATAAATGATTTCTCAACCCCCTACAACTTCCCCCCCGGGAGGGTGGGTATCTATAGAGCCATAGAGGGAATGTGGGTTGGGCTCACAAGTCTTGGGTCTGGGAGGCTCGATACAATAATGGGTCGCGGCTGTTTACATGCGTTTTAACCCACTAAGGGTACTATGAGGATGTGTGATGGTGATGGGTCTGAGGTGAATGGTGCACCTCGGCCTCGCTGGTGAAGATGCCCAGGTAAGTCTTTTGCCGAGGTGTCTTCCTCCTAGGTGCGTCTATCAAGTTGATGGTACGGACAAAAAGTTCGCCTCTTCATTATGGACTGGGCTCTCTAAGTGGGACTTATGTCCCTGGTGTCGGCTTGGGTCGTCCGTATGTCCAAGAGTATGTGGGTCGTGGGTGCATGCTCATGTACTCTATCACTCGGTCTTCTACGCACATGGCTAAACCACCGCAAACGAGACTCTAACATCTTATCTTCTATAGGTGATACTCCCATGTTTGATTATCTCATTCCTCAAGCGGTCTTTTCTGGTATGTCAACACATCCAACACAACATACACATCTCTTCCACACTCATCTTTTGAATGTGACATTGCTTCACTGTCCACCACTTTACGCCATACATTAATGCAAACCTCGATCACATAGAAATCATGATGCACTCTTCCATTTCATCCACCCAGCTTTGATTCTATGCGATACATCTCCATCTAATTCACAATCCTTCTGAATTATGGAGCACAAGTAACGGAACATATCACACACCGATATCTCTTTACCATCAAGAGTAATCCCACTGTTACTACTACTTCTACCTCCACTAAACTTGCACTCCATATACTCAGTCTTGCTTCGGCTTGGTCTGAAACCTTGGTCTCCAATGTTTGTCATCATACTTCCAACCTTGCTTTAACACCCGAGTACATCTCATCAATCAATACAATATCGTTAGCAAACATCATACACCATGTTATATCTTCTTGAATTGACTTCGTAAGTTCATCCATGACTATAACAAATAAGGAAGCACTTGGAGCGGATCTTTGGTGCACTCATATAGTAATAAGGAACTCTGTAGTCCTCCCTACACTAGTACGAACACTTGTAGTACAAGCCTCACATATATATCTCTATGATGATACTGATATACTTACATGATATGTCTTTTCTAGTTAATGCCCTCTAAAGGATTTCTTGAGATACACTATCATATACTTTTTCTAAGTCAATGAACACCAAATGCAAATCCTCTTTTGTATCTCAGCTCTATACTTATGTTGTTTAGATCCTCCTCACAAAGTCCCGATTTATCATATACTCTGGTATAATAAGATCATCATTACCTTGCACAAGGTATCAAAGTATGAACTTCACTTCTCTTTTATATCCTCGTCCTCCATTAGTTTAAAGTAAAGAAAAAAGTATTTAACGAAATTTATATTTTTTATATAATAGTTTAATCAATATTTTACTAAACTATTATATAAATGTTAAATGTCCCACACCGGAAACATTTGGATGAACAAAGTGCTATATTAATACATGTGTTACTCCTCCTATCAGGTTGACCTTTTAGGATGGAACCCCAGGTCTTAACAATAAAAAATAATACTTACAATAGATTAATTAATGCTTTACTAAACTAGTATATAAAAAATATGATAAATATATTTTATTAACGATCTTGAAATACATGATATAACAATATTGTACACACAACTCAAGATTTACAGGAAATCTCAAAAGAACAAATGACTTTGTCTCAGTCCAGTTATTTCCCTTGAGACTAGTTTTCATTTTACTTCCTTTTTTATGTTCTTTTTCTCTTAATTATTCTCTCGCTTTGTACTATTTTCTTTAAACAATAAAATTCCTCTTTCTTAAAAAAAAAACCCTTGAAGTACGTGTTTATACAAGGATTATGCTAATCTAAAATAGAATTGTAATGGGAATCAAGCAATCAAGAATCGATAATGGAAAGCTGAGATAAAGAATAAAAATATTATTAGGCTTTGTTAGCCGAGAGCTTTGAATACAGAATATTGATAATATGAGTGCGATCAGTGCTTTTTGTCTCGAATGAATGTGTTACATTGAGGCTGTGCGAGTATATTTATGGGATAGCTTCTACCCCTTCCCCAAGAATAGCAACCGAATACCTATTTCCTCTCCACGTGCCACTTTCTTCTCTTGACTAATTCATGGACTCCTTCATGCTTATCTTTATCAGTCAAACCATACTGAAGAGTCTCGAACTTCCTTTGGGCTACCTGGATCAATTTATCTTGTCACAATTATTGGCCCATTTGTAGGGGTACTTTCTTGGTCTAACATTTGCCCCCATTCATGATGTTGGCGGGTTGGAACGCGTGTAATACGCCATCATTATGAATTTAAAATAGAGTAGGACACTCAACCGGCTTCCCACTGCCCGAGGAATTGCTTCGTCTCTATCAAACCGATTAAACCTCCCCTTTACCTCTTCCGATTGTCACTCTCGAAAACCTTCCCCCTGCTGTTTGTTCGAATAGCTAATTGTTACTTCATGGAGCTTGTTGTTTTTCAAAGCCAGGGTGTCTTTGAGACGAAAAATCTCAGGGCGGCAGATCTGCGCTCAAAAGACTTGGAGGAGATCCGGTCTTCCTATGGATTCCCCCCTTCTGCACAAATACGATTCCCCGCTCGTGGTGAACGGGTTGATTGGGTCTCTCCGGGATGGCTCAACTTCTATCAATACCCGTTCGAAAAGCTCGGAGTCCGCTTCCCTTTCTCCGAATTGGTAAAGGGTTTTATTGCCCGTGCTCAAATCTCTCCCTGCCAAATTATGCCCCAAGCTTGGCGGCTTCTCCGTTCTCTGGAGTATCTGATTGAGAAGCATAACCTTCAGTATTCCGCGGAAGATTTGAGTTTTACATACGACTTAAGAACTTCTGGAAGAGGACGGTTCACTTTAGTGACAAAAGCTGGTGCTGACCCTATCATTCTGGGAATCAACAGTGCCAATGACCGAGGTTGGATTACCAAGTTCTTTTTTGTAGAGAAGGCGTCCTTAGGAGAACATGCGCAGTCTTTTCCTGACCGTTTGAGGGTTGTTGGTGAACTCGGTATGTATTCGATTAACCTGTTGTATGTTGTTTTTTTTTTTTTTTTTTTTTTTTTTTTTTCTGTCATTTGCTTGTTATGTGCGTTCAATTGCTTTTACTACCCTGATTAGTTACCTCTGAACGTACCGTGGTGTTCCTTATTTTATCTTGTTCTCACAGTGGGTGAAGTGAAAGCGAAAGGAAAGGAAGCAAAGGCTGGGGAGAAGGAAGGGAAGACGATCCCTATGGAGTTTGGTCCCCACTCTGAGGAGAGGACCATTGCATTTTTGGCATTGTCTCCCGAAGCTCGTCTTTACTCGAATCTTAAAAAGGAATTCAGAGGTATGGCCGTTTATCCCTCTTCTGTAAGTCCAATTCGTGTTGGATTGAGGCGTTCTGCCCGGAACATGTCTAAGTCTCCTAGTTCATTTCAAGATGCCTCAGCTGTATCAATTGATAGCACTGACAACGGCGAAGACGACACGGCAAGTGTTACTGACGACGTTCTCACCCTGCCTGTTGTAATTGAATGTGCCTCGTCTGTACGTAATGCCCCCAACCTTAATCCTCTGAAATCTGCTGTTGGTAAGCATTTGGTGAATTTGTTACTGCGCATGGTTTTGTCTTCCTGCTTTGCTGCGTTTTGATGCCTTTTGCTACTTAGGTACTTCATCCTCATCAGGGATTCGCAAGGCTCTTGATCCTACTGAACTCCTGCATCTGAAGTCCAAGAAGAGAAGGTTGACGCCTCCGCTTCCCCCAGTGACTACTTCTACTGCTACGACAACTTGTTCGCTTCCTGCTCCGACTCCAAGCTCGAATGATGGTGCACAAAAGACGACTCTCAAAGCTGATTTTTCTGTCAACTTTTGCCGTCTGGACAACGCTTTAACAATGAAAAACGAAATGTCTCAGCTATTGCTTCCTTCCGCATTTGATGCTTTTGCGGGCTTCAGCGACGTCGATGTTATGACAGCATCATCCGCATTCGCTTTTCAGGTTTGCCCCATGAAAACGCATTTTATTGACCTTAAGATTCATATTTCTTAATGACAATGTTTGTTTCAGGTGGTTCAAGCTAACCTGGTGGCTGCTAAGCGTGTCCTACTGCTGACTGACGAACTGCAAAAATCCAAACGAAGCGAAGAAGAAGCGAAGACAAAATTGACCGAAGTTGCTGCTGCCAAACTATCCTTGGAAGGGACAGTCGTTTCTCATGCTCGCAAGATTGATCATTTATCCAGCGTGTTGACAGTTAAGGATGCTAGGATTGCTTCCTTAGAAGAGTACGGCAGAAGGAAAAGGCAGGAGGTTGTTGAGGCGGCTGGGTATTATACATGGAAAACAAGAAAGGATCTCATGACGTCGTTCCTAGCTGGTGAATCAGGCAGTTGGAGGCCTCAGGAAGATATAGCTACTTGGGAGGCCAACTTTGCGGATGAAGAACCCCCTGTTGGAGATGATGACTTTGATTTAGGCTCTTGCAATACTGAAGCTGAATCGGCTCCTAAATCTTGATCTCATTATGTTTCCCCTGAATACTTCCTTTGCCTTTTATACTCCTGTCCATATCGCCCGGTGGTTTATCCGGTGGTTCGATGGTATTTTGATTAAGGGTAGGTGGCTGGTGGTTTATCCAGCACTTGACCCAAACTGTTCTAACTTTGTTTGAGTTACGTAGGCGAATGTTCTGTTATGCTTTGATGTCATACGATCGTCGAACTTGTTATTTGATGTTTTCTCCTTTATATTTTGTTTGACCATGACGTCGTCGGTGTGTTGTGTGTATGTATATTGTGTGCTGTCTGTAGTTTTGGGTTTTATCTGACTTTATGATTCTGTCAGTATGCCCAATGTACGCTGTATGTTGTTTTGGCCAAAACATGTAAGGCGCACGGACTCGGTACTCATATTCTTCATATGATGAACCCATGCGGTCCTTGACGTCCCTTTGTGATGTAGTCATGTAGTTAAGGGCTGTGTTATGAGAAATTTATGTGAGCCGATTGATGTTCTCAGCCACTAGTGTTCGTCATCACGCTTAAGTATGTATTTAGTCATGTTGTCGGGACCTGTCTGTTGACTTAAAGATAATAGTCTCTGATGCTGAAGTCAATATTTGTGAATTAAAAGATTTGTACTGAACGGTTGACTCTCTATCCCTGTGAACTTATTTAGCGAAATGTATGCCATTTCAACTTAATGCCTTAAAGGGGACATGTGCTTTGCACCAGTCAAAGTGAAAATAACAATGTGGGGAATGAGCAAATTGTCATTGCTTACCTTGACTGTGTCTTAGTCATTTGCTTCTTTTTTGACTTACCTGCACCAGTTAGAAAATCTTGGTTGATCTAGTGTTATTAGTCTGAGATTATCTGACGTCGTCATCCGCCACTTTGTTTCACGTCGTCTTCCAATTGGCAGTGTGAAACCTTCAGTCTGTAAATCAAATAGGAATTATGCTAAGGGCTGGCCGTTGGCTTGAAGCCAACGGCCCTCCGATGCTAAAGTCAGTAGGTGTATATTACCTCCAAGAAGTCATACGTATTTCCACTCGTCGAGACGAATGAAGGAACTGAGATGAGAATAACGAAAAACTAAATTATTGTTGCGTACCTTAATTCGACTGAATTAATGTCGTCGTCAGAAACCTATATGATGTAGTCGAATAGGACTTAGCTCGATGTTGTTGATCTGTAATTTAGTCAAACACTTCGCTGGCCGTTGGCTTGAAGCCAACGGCCCTCCGACGGTCTAGTTAGTAAAAGGCTCAAAAAGTATAGGATGAATATTTCAATAGCAAATTACATTAGAAATGGAAAAGCTTCAGGTGTACCGCATTCCAGCTCCTTGGAATTTGTTTACCGTCGATGCTTGTCAGACGATATGCCCCCTGTCCGACGACATCTGTAATTTGGTATGGGCCTTCCCAGTTGGGGCTGAATTTTCCGTTTGCTTCGTTGCCAAAGGACTTTCGGAGTACCCAATCGCCTTTCTTGAAGGCTTTGACTCGGACATCTTTGTTGTAGCTTCTCGCTACCCTTTGTTGATAGGCCGCCATTTGGATCTTAGCTTTTTCCCTCAATTCATCGATGGTGTCAAGATCATGAATCAATTCGATGTTGTTTGTTTCTTCTGTGATAAGTCCATATCTGGATGTTGGCACCTCGACTTCAACTGGAATGACAGCTTCGCATCCGTACACCAATGAAAAAGGCGTCTGTCCTGTGGCATTTTTTGGTGTCGTTCGATCTGCCCATAATATGAGTGGCAATTCTTCGGCCCATCTTCCTTGTGCCTTCTCCAATCTCTTCTTCAGATTTGAAATGATAATTTTGTTGCTGGACTCGGCCTGTCCATTTGACTGTGGATAGCGGGGCGTCGACATCTCCAGTTTGATGTTGTACTTTTCACAAAATCGTCTGGTTTTGATGCTGATGAATTGTGATCCGTTGTCGCAGACGATTTCTGACGGGATTCCGAACCTGCTTAATATATTTCTTTTAATGAAAGATATTACCTGGGTGTCGCGGATTTGTCGAAAAGGCTCAGCTTCGATCCACTTTGAGAAGTAGTCCGTCATTGCCAACATATAGACTTTCTGTCCTGGTGCTTCGGGCAGCTTTCCTACGATGTCCATACCCCATTTCATGAAGGGCCATGGGGCCAGGACAGGATGTAGTGCTTCTGCATGTTGGTGGTGTACTGGTGCATGTCTTTGGCATGGTTGGCAAGCTTGAGTGTATGCGACAGCATCATGTCTCATCGTTGGCCAATAATAACCAAACCTCAGGGCTTTGTTGGACAGACTTCTTCCTGCTGCGTGGTTGCCGCACTCTCCTTCATGGAGGCTTTTAAGTACTTTGACAGCTTCGGATGGGGCTAAACACCTTTGATATGGTCCTGCCTTTGAACGTTTAAACAAGACATCATCAATTAATAAAAATTTTGTTACCTTTGATAGGAGTGCCCTTGCTTCTCTTTTGTCAGTTGGTAGGATGTCATGTTTGAGATAGTCTATATATGGCTGCATCCAGTTGCTGTCCATGGTTGATGTAATGACATTGAGCATCTCTCTTCGTTCGATAGCCGGCTCTGTCAAATGGACAAGTGGGATGTCGTCACTGCTTACCGCTCCGAGACATGACCCTACTGCTGCCAAGGCATCAGCTTGAACATTCTCCTCCCTCGGGATTTGCTCAAAAGTGATGTCGTCAAAATAACTGCTCAAGTTGGTGACGACTTGTAGGTATGCCGTCATCTTCGGGTCTTTAGCTGCATAAACTCCGTTAGTTTGATTAACAATTAAAAGAGAATCGCATTTTACCTCAATTGTTTTTATGCCCAGGTTTCGAGCTAAGTTTAGCCCGAAAATCAGTGCCTCATACTCTGCTTCGTTATTTGTTGCGTTGAAATCACATCTGACGGCTTGCACTATGTTGCCCCCTTGTGGTGATTTCAGTACAACTCCAAGTCCGGCTCCTTGCATGTTTGAGGCTCCATCGGTGTGCAAAATCCATTTTTGTCGTTGTGGCTCTTCGATCAATAGGCACATCTCCTTTTCAGCTTCTACTTGTAGTTTGGGACTGAAATCCGCCACAAAATCAGCTAGAGCCTGTGATTTCAAAGCCGTCCTGGGCTCATACTTGATGTCGTATGCCCCCAGCTGTATTGACCATTTGATCATTCGACCTGTCAGTTCTGGTTTCCTCATGATCGACTTCATGGGATAGTTAGTTCGAACACAAATAGAATGTGACTCAAAATAAGGACGCAATTTAATTGATGCTGTGACAAGTGCAAGTACTAATTTTTCTAAGAGTGCGTACCTGGCTTCCGGCCCACTTAAGGACTTACTTACGTAGTAAACTGGCGTTTGTTGGCCGTCTTCTTCCCGGGTCAAGACTGCACTGACAGCATGCTCCGACACTGCTAGATACATCTGTAGTTCCTCCCCATCTTTAGGCTTCGTCAGTAATGGCGGTGTCGTCATGTACTCCTTCAAATTTTTCGTGTTGTCCTGTCCATTCGAATTTCCTATTTTTTCTGAGGACATCATAGAAAAGTCGACATCTGTCTGACGACTTTGATATGAATCTGTTGAGCGCCGCAACTCGTCCCGTCAACCTCTGGACATCTTTGATCGACTTGGGAGATTCAATGTCGAGTATGGCTCGGACCTGCCCCGGGCTAGCTTCTATCCCCCTCTCGCTGACGATATAACCCAAAAATTCTCCTGACGACACTCCAAATGTGCATTTGGCAGGATTTAGTTTTAGGTTGTACTTGTGCAACTTCAGGAATGATACCCGCAGATGATCAATGTGGTCCGATGCTTTTTTGGATTTGACCAACATGTCGTCGATGTAAACCTCCATAGTTTTCCCGAGTTGCTCTTTGAAGACCATCGTCACCAACCTTTGGAAAGTGGCACCTGCATTCTTTAGACCGAATGGCATAACAATATAACAATATGTACCTGTCTCAGTGATGAATGCGGTCTTCTCCTGGTCGTCGGGGTGTAATTGAATCTGATGGTAGCCACTGAAAGCGTCCATGAATGTCAACATCTCATGTCCCGCTGTGGCATCCGCGAGGACGTCGATATGTGGCATTGGAAACATGTCTTTTGGACAAGCCTTGTTCAGATCAGTGAAGTCGACGCACACTCTCCACTTAGGTTTTTTGCCTTTCTGGTGACCCTTCTTTTTCTGCACTACAACAACATTAGCAAGCCAATTAGGGTACTTTACCTCGCGGATCTTACCGGTACGCAGCAGTGTCTCAACTTCCTGATTGATGATGTCATTTCTTTCTCTGGCAAATCGTCGTCTCTTTTGCTGGATTGGCTTGTGTAAAGGATTTACATTGAGTTTGTGAGTGATTACTTGTGGATCGATTCCAGTCATGTCGTCGTGACTCCAGGCGAAGACATCTTTATGTTCTCTCAGGAAAGCTACAAGTTCTTCTTCCAACTGAGTCGCCATGTTGCCCCCAATGCGGACGACTCTATCCGGATGGTCTGGATCAATGCTGATGTCTTTGGTAATGTTATCGTCCTCCCCATCCAGAATGAAGTCGCCCTTTAATTGCTATGCAGATGTGGTGGCGGAGACTGTTGGCTTCATCGCTGTTTGGTAGCATGACTTGGCAGCGACTCTATCACCTTGTATGGATTGCACCCCCCATGGCGTTGGAACCTTAACCACTTGATGGTACGTTGACGGAATCGCTCCCAATTGATGTAGCCAAGGAGTGCCCAGTATCATGTTGTACGCGGGCAGATCTTGGACGACATCAAACTTTACCTGCAAGTTAAGACCAACAGCATGTACAGGTAAAGATACGCTACCTATTGTCTTACTTGGTTCGCCATTAAATCCAACAAGAGTGGAACCGGAGGTAGTCAGATCTTCTTCTTTGTACCCCATCTGCTTTAGAGTCTTCAAGGTTGTGATGTTGGCGGTGCTGCCATTGTCGACCAGAACTCGTCTCACTTCACAGTTTGCTACCCGAAGTGCGATAACCAAGGTGTCATGATGAACATCAGCAGGACTTGTGAAGTCTGTTTCGTCAAATGTGATAGGTGCATTCCTCCAAGCCTCCTCTTTTCGGACGACTTGATTCACCTGCAATGACTTGTCTCGGGAATATTCCCGAGCTTGTCTCTTTGCTGCAGAGTAAGTTAGTCCACACAAGTCAGAACCACCATTAATGAAATTGATTACCTTTTGTGGTGCCGTAGGTGAGGGAGGTCGTTGG